TTTCGTTAATTGGAGGTAAGTCTTATTAGTGATATTTAAACAAAAAATCTTCCTATTTTTTTTGTGTTGATCGCACTTTGAACTATTATAGGTGTGCGATATGTAGATTCTAATCAAATCAAATAACAATTATTCGTTTGGGGCCTTGATATTGCATTTGAAACTGTAGTGTTCTGCGTCTTTTTGTTGTTTGATTTCAGTTGTTTTCGTCAAACTTGATTAAATGCGATGTAGATAAATATTTTGCATGACTCGAGTTCTTATTAGTGCTTTGTTTATGCCAATATTAAACGAAGAAGGGGATCTTAACTGAGTTCTAATTAAAATTATATCAAAATATTAATTATTTTAGCTTTAGTTGAAAGTAAAGTAAGTACTGTCGGAAAAGTAGTAAAGCATTGCATGCGTGATAAATAATATAATGTATTTCTTATGAGTTCTCGATTACATTACTGCTAACTATGTAATCAGCATTCTAATGTATTCAAAAATTTTCAAATTTTTGATATTAAAACACATTAATTTCTCGATACTAGGTAATGCAAAATTGAATGCCCCACTTTTCCTAGGACATCGCCCTCGCTCGAAAAAATAATCAGTAAAACAACCCTTTTCACATTCGAAAATGCATTTTTCCCCCGCGGCATTGTCCTAAGAAAAGTGGGGCATTCAATTTTGCATTACAGTAATGCAGAAATGAATGTGATTTAATATGGAATTTTTGGAGTTTGTGGATACATTGGAATGCTGATTACATAGTACATAAGAAATACATTAAACTATGTATCACGCATGTAATGCATTACTACTTTTCCGACTGGGATTCAATACTTTCCCCAAAGCAAATTTATTTCAAATATCCCGCATATTGGAATAGAAAGACTGCGCATGTAGTGCGATAAATACCTAATACTACCTATTAACGTTCAAGCGCCTAAAAGCTGACTGTAGTTTCCTTATCCTAAATCTTTACCATAAATAGTACTGTGGAAATGTCTATTTAGGTTTTAAAGCTATGTCAACATTTAGCTTAATACCAATTATATTTCTACTTAGCTTACAAGCTAAATATACAAACGAATACTAAATTTTCGTATTGGTACAATATACAAATAAATAATGTAAAAGTTTTCATTTAATTACGTTGACTTTGCATCTGCGCTGCTAATGGACGGCCATTGCCGTTTGATGACGGCGAAGTGGGTCATTTGATAAGCATTGGTGTGCTGACATCGGCGTTCCACGAACCCAGTCAGACAGTAGCCCATATTGTAGTCCTCCATTGATATATTTGAGGTCAGATACAGTTTGAATTCGTCAATATCCTTTTCCTTGCCACTGTCGGCACTTGCGGCACTACCATCGGCGCAGTCAAGGCAGGTTTTGCCGCCTACCGAACTACCGGACGCAGTCTTTTTGCCATGAAAGTGCCCTGCGATGAGAAGCGAACCTTTCT